CTGACTTTCCAATAAAAATAAATAAATCTTTTTAAAAAATTAGCCACTGTTTCTTGGGAAAGGCCTGAAGGAAGAATTATATAATGTAGTTTGTTCTTGCAAGCTGTTCATTCTTGTTCTTTCAGGGGCTTTGGATTTGTGTGTATTTATTGAGATTTTATAACTGATTGAAGAGGCATGTTGAGGTTATTCAGTGTATATTTGCAAAACATAAATTTTTGCATATGTAATTTAGACCATTTTGGAACTCTTAATTAATCAGACGCTATCAACAAATCCTGTTGTGCCAGTTTATATACACTTACTACTATGATTCTGCTGTTATTGTAAAAGATCCATCTCCCTCTGACATTTAAGTGTTACTATATTGCCTCACCTGTCTCCAAGATGTGTTTTCCCACTGGTATCCAGGAATGTACTTTAATGAAGGTTCCGCTACATTTTTCTTTAGGTAGACATTTTCAAAAATGCTTAGATTTCCTATTAACAATGTGTTTCCCAGTGTCTTGAAGAAAGGACCAGCTTCAAAGAAAAAACAAAACCGTATGTTATTGGATCACACATGACTATTTTGTAAAATGATTTGTTCTCCCTATTGTGTTTTTTAAGTGATTAAAAAAATAACATCTCAGCTTTTTTTTGGGAGGAGGGGGTGTTTGTCTTCTTACTCATTTAAAAATTTTTTTTCTTTTGAATTTAATGGTCTGATTTCATAGAGTCCAGGATTTCCACCCCCAACCTCTCCCCACTCCAACTGATTTTTTCCTCACATCGTTTCAGTAGTATAGTCCTTCATAAGGAGTCTGTTATTTAAGTGTGCCCCAACATTGCTGGTACAGACAATGTCAGACAGTCCAGTATCCCCCTGTCTACTGATGTCCAACAGTTTCATTGGGAGTCCATCTTTGATGTGGAAGCAGGGATGCATATTACATTGTATCTGATATGGTAGTCTGTATTACTTCATCACTACACATTTCCTTATATGGAACGCCTTGAAATTAGGTCAGCAACCAGTATGAATTTCATTCATCTTACAAGGTTCACTGCTGCATTGTGAAATATTTCGTGCTGTTTTCTTATCTAAGTGTGATATTCTCAAAGTTTTTTTGCAACACATGGTTTTCTATAACATATCATTAATGAATTCAGTGATTAGGAAATTCAACTTATTTTGTATTTACCGTGTCCAAGGGAACCTTTTCATTCTTTGAAGCAGCTTGCAATTTTGTACATGACCGACATGTACATAGGTAATGTCAAGGCAGTGGTTTTGAGTTACTAGAGTTAACGGTTTGGAATTTTAGAAGAACTCTTAGAATTTAAGAGCTCAAAAGACAGATTATTTAACTCCAATTATTTGACTAATTTATAAAAATATTCTGAAGTCAGCAAGGTGAAGTACAGAAGGATGGAATACTATACATAATACTTGGTGAGGAATATGTACTTCAGAGTCGTTGTCGGGGAGAGATGCTGAAAAAGTAGGTCCTTGAAGCATAGGATTCCAGGAAAGGCAATGGCACGCGAGGACACCAGAACACTGTGTGTGATAGGGTGGGGAGCTTGGGCATACTTGTATTTTTGAGAAGTTCTAAGCAGATTTTAAATCTAGATAATTCATCCTGGTAGTAAGTGAGATGACAGTTTGGAGGAAAGGAGCCAATTAAAAGTGCATTACCATCAGGTAACAGAAAGATTAGGAATAATAAAAGCAGATGGGAAAGAAGAAAAGTGTGAGAGTTGTTTGTTAGGACCATTTAAACAGTTTCATGATCGGAATATAGTGAGGGAAAGAGAGGAGGGAGCCAAGTCCTCAGGGTTTGACAAATGCGACAGTGAAGAGGACAGTGTTCGAGGACATGACCTAGATCTGAAATTGTGTGAAGGTAAATGCTGGCATCATTTGTTTGCGATATGGCTATTGCTGATTATGCTTTGATTTTTTCCATTTATTTTTATTACTTATCACCATCTGAAGTGAAAGCTTGAACGCAAAACTGAATCTGTATTTATGTAACAGCTGTTTGTCACTTTATTTGCTATAGATAGCTAGAACTCTTAATGAAGACAGTATCCATAATTGTTTTAAGGTTTATTTTTACTATGAAGGCAGACTTAGAGAAGGAGAGACAGATCTTTATCTGCTGATTCACTCCCCAAGTGGCCGCACAGCGCTGGATCTGAGTTGATCAGGAGCCAGGAGCTGCTTCTAGGTCTCCCGTGCGGGTGCAGGGTCCCAAGGCTTTGGGCTGTACTTTACTGCTTTCCCAGGCTATAAGCAAGGAGCTGAATGTGGAAGCAGAGCAGCTGGGCCATGGAAGGTGCCTGTATGGGATCCTGGTGTATGCAAGGCAAGGACTTTATCCACTGGGTTACTGCACTGGACCCAGCAAACATAATTTTAAAAGTAAAAGAGAAAAGGTCAAAAAGAAAGAAGGAAAGAAAAAGGAAATATAAAACTTGCATGTTGAAATACAATTACTTGAGTCTATTGCTTTCAACAAAATGTTAGAATCGGTGTATATTATAATGTGAAAAAAGCAGATACTTGATTGGGTAATACAAGTTAATTTGAAAGAAAAGTCCATTAATTTCCGCCCTCACTTGTTTTTATGTTTGAAGGACTTATGCTATTCCTGAATGCAGATTGATTTCTTTGTTCTGACGGAGGAATGAGGGAAGGCATGCTGCAGTGGGTTCTGGAATTCTGGGATCTGTCACTGCCTTGTCATAAAGTAGCTAGGATTATATAATTTAATATCTTCATAAAAATAAATGCATAAGGACCCGGCGCGGTGGCTCAGTGGTTAAGGTCCTCGCCTTGCACACCCGGGATCACATATGGGCGCAAGTTCTATCCCGGCAGCCCCGCTTCCCTTCCAGCTCCCTGCCTGTGGCCTGGGAAAGCAGACGAGGACAGCCCAAAGCTTTGGGACCCTGCACCCGTGTGGGAGATCTGGAAGAGGCTCCTGGCTTCAATCGGCATAATATCGGCCGTTGTGGCTCACTTGGGGAGTGAATCATGGGACGGAACTTCTTCCTCTCTGTCTCTCCTCTCTGTATATCCTCCTTTCCAATAAAAAAAAAAAATCTTTAAAAAAAATAAATGTATAATTTATATCTTCTACATTCTATATCTGTTGAAGAACATTTTGATTAATATGTCCTAAGCTTTCTTCTTAATTTTTTAAAATTGCTTTTGTAAAAATGTTCTGAAATTTATAATCTTTTTTCATTATGACTGAAATATTTGCCTTGTTCAGAAAAGCTTGATGAAAGAAGGGCATGGAAGTATTGTATGGTTGCTCATGAAATGCCTAAATCAATTGCTAATATAAAATTATGCAATATTATTTATGGTTCTAAAAGGAATAAGTTTAATTTCCACCTATGCTAATCTTCAAGGACTGTTAGAAATAAAGAATGCTGAACCTCCATTAAGAATCTCTTGAGGCATTTCCATTCATAGGTTAAATGGTTAAGAGTCTACAAATAATAATGTACCCATCAACTTCTGGGGATAAAATGAAGTAAAATGAATTGCTAGCTAAATGTAATTAGAAAGCATTTTACAAGGTGGGTGTTTTGTAAATGCATGTTCATAAATAAATTCATAAAATTCAAGATTCTTGGTTTGCTTTTTATTCTATTGCATTCAATATTTTTATTATTAATGTTTATTTTCAGCATCTCATAGTTGCATCTGCCTTTAACAGAATGGCAATATAGCAAGAGCCCTGTAGATACTTTAGTCATTAGCATCTGAAGAATTAGCATCAATGTCTGCAGAGGCCAGTGTTCCTCACATTTGGCTTCCTACCCATTGCAACCTTAAATTGGACATTGACAAAATTAATTTTTAGTTGATTTAACTCTACATTTGGATTTTACTCTACATACTCTTTTAATGCTAATTAAAAGTTTTTGAAAAAAGGAAAAAAATTTTTCTAGAGGAAAATTAAATGCATTGAATGAGAGCAGTACTCATACAATGATTTTTCACAGCACATTACAATTATGGAATTTATAAAGTCTGCTGGCTATAGTGTCTTTGAGAATTCATGGAACTGTGCAATAACCAGTTTAGAAGTGAATATAGGGAAACGATGATACAGATCAGGTTTTGTGAGTTTTTTTTAATAGAGTTCCATGTATAATTCCCCACAGACTTGAGTATAAATGAAGAAATAGGTCATTCACAAAAGTTAAATTCAGTGGGGGTACTGATTTGTGAACTTATGTTTAGTTCCTAAATAACTTTCCTCTTTCCAGACCACCGTGTCCTTGAAAAGTTAATTTTGTTTTATCTCTCGTTATTGAAGGCTTCGCATGACAATGGAAGTTGAAAGCTTCCCAGGTAAAGATCTTTCAAAGAATAAGGGACTCATGATAGGGAAGGATAAAAGTCAACAGTTTATACCACTCGATGGCTTTTAAGATTTTCATCAAATGCATCCCCTGCAGTTGAATCTTACTAGAGAAGCTTCCCAGCAGAGTTAAAATCATAAAACAATGACAATGTTACCTTTGTTTCTCTGAGCTTTCAGACAGGAAAGACAGCAACGGAACTGTGTATCAACTTACTTTCTTCCTCTTTTGGTGTTGAATAAAGATCTCTTACCCTAAGGTATATGGCATTAGCTACAATTTAAGCAAAAGAGACTCAATTTTTATCAGAAAAATACAGCATTCTAGGACTGTTTGTATGTTATGTATTTTCAAATGACTGTATTTATTTAGTCAAGGACAAAATCTTCCAAAACACACAAAAATGGGATTTATTGTAATTTTAGAAGTAAATATTAACATGTAGAATTTGGTTTTTTTTTAAACTGCATGGAATTTGACTTTTAGAATTGTACGTATGAACTATATTGAATGTGTGAATAACCATATATGAAAAATAATTTAAAATGTATATATTTTGGCAGTGATCATGGTGTATTTAAATATAAGCATTGTAAAAATTCATTGGGGTATATTCTTCTTATTTCTAGGATGATGCTCGTCCGTAAGCTCACACTGGCCGTCACTTCTCAGACTACCCTGTGTAAGTAAAATAAAATTTCCGTTCCTTCTTGGTGGTAGAGGACATGTTCCTTTTTGAAGATAAAGGTTTATAGGGATGTCTATGGATGTCTTCAAGATGCACAGTAAGTTTGGGGTTAAGAACGTTAAGACCTACATTGTAGTTGTGTCACCAGAAAAACACAGATGTTGTTCAAGACTTGCTTTCTGTGATACAGCAAGCTAATACAAGCTGAATTGAATTCTTTACTATTTCTTGAATATGAATTTTGATGTTGAATTGCCTCTTGGAGATTAAATTTTGAAAGTTCTGTATTGTTGATACTAAAGCACCCTGTCATTAGGTTCATTGGCACAGACTATGCTAAACTGGTTAAGTTGTAACTGGGTTAATTACATTTTGTTTCCTTAAATGTTTCTGGGCTTTATATATTTTTTAAATTCATCTGTCATCATGTACTTAATGACATTGAACATCTGTTCCATTTCATTTTTTTAAAGTTTCTAAATTGTAGCAGTTGTGTTAGTTTCTGTGTAAGTGGTTTTGATAAGAACTAAATTTTAAATTTTGCTCATTTATATATTCCCTGTAAAATGAATTAATATATTCAAGCAAATATACTCTGTAGTTGTAATAATTCTTGAGGCTGCACTTAAACTTTGATAAAGAATGAAAACAGTGTCCTTGGCATAGGTGGTGCAGGAGTTAAAAATCTGGTATTCTATGTTGAATATTTTGAATATAAGGCAGTTAAAACAACAGCAGGTGGAAGACTGTTTTGGCCTCTTTTCAGTTCCTTAAATGAGGAGATGAAATTCCTATGTGAACCAAAAGGAATGACATTCTTATCCTCAAGGACAAAGAGTGGAGGTGGAAAGAATTCTGTTCAGACCTCATTAAAAGAGATCATCTTTTAAGACTTGCACTAATTTTCTTCTTCTTAACTTCCATTATTTATCAGATTCACAGTGGAAGTAAATGACTCTAACAGCTACTTTGGGTCTTCATTTTCTTATGAGGGTTCCTATGCTATGCAAAACTGTATGGACTAAATGTTTTTCTTCTATTTTATATCAGTTAATTCTTGAGTCAAGCTGGGATCCTAAATGGACAGGTGGAATTTTTTTCTTCTCTGCTGCATTAAAGTACAGTCATTTTCTAGTACCCATTGGAGATTGCTTCTAGGACCCCTATTCCACCACTGACCAAAATCCAAGGATGCTTAAGACCCTTGTATGAAAAGATGTAGTATTTATGTATGACTTATACTCATCCTTCTTTATTTCTTAAATCATTTTATGTTGCTTGTGATACTGCAATGCAAAGGCTATGCAAACAGTTGCTGTACTGCATAGTTTAGGGAAGAGTAATAAGGAAAATGTGTATAAATTTTAGTACATACACAATTCTGCTCCCCCTCCTACCCATCAGTGTTTTCAAGCTGTAGTTGGATAAACCTATGAATTTTTGGAGATTTACTTATTTATTTGAAAGCCAGGATCAGATAGTGAAGAGACAAAGACCTTTCATCCACTTGTTCACTATACAGAAGGCTGCAAAAGCTGGGGGTCTTCAGCTGAGCCTTTCATTGGATAGCAGAACCACACACTTTCATACTATCACCACCTGCTTTCCCTAAACTATCACTATGGAGCTTCATCAGAAAGTTAGAGACATGAACCACAGTAGAGTAGTTGAGACAAGAACCAGAGCCCATAGAGATGCCTGTGCTGCAGGTTGCAGGCTTTATAGTGCCAGCTCCGTTGCAGGAAATCACAGGGCTTTGACAGGAAAAGACAACAACAACCTTATTTCTTGGCTCACACGAAAGAATTTTCATACAGACAGCACTGAAGTTGTTCAATGTGCAAAGCAAGATTTATTTAAGAAAGTGAGAGAGAGGTCTCCTGCTCTTGTGACAGCAGCCCAGGTCTCCAAAGGAGGAAAGACCCAAGAAAACGGTGGAAGTGGTGTCTTTATTTACTAATTGGCATCAAACTGGTAGACTGTCCCATTCCAACATGCATGGAAGAGGGGAGAAGCCCGATCAGCTGTGTTCATGGGTTCTTAGCAGTGATCATCCGTTTAACTAAGAGAGCTCTGTGAATCATTCAATGAACCAAGCTTATGTCCATGCGCAATACAAATGACCCAATCAGCTGTAGTGGCATGGAAATCAAATACCTTGTTTAAACATCGTGCACTTTAAACTATCCAAGCAGCAAGAGTTACATCCCACCTAGTAGGGAAAAAGCAGAACCAGCAAACAGGTCCTTCCCATTCCATTTGCAGAAAACAGTTTGGGGGCAATCAGCTTACTGCCTGAGCTGTAAGAAGAAAGCAAGATCTCATCTTGGGATGAGATGATATCTTGTGATAAGCACTCTCACTTCCCCTTCAGAACTTTCCAAGAACATAAGATCACAGCAAGGTCAGGTAATGGACATGTCCTAGAAATGTTCAAAAGAACTAGCCTTAGTGTCTCCATTTTCTGTTTTCTGGGCTGTACAACTCTAAGTGATGGGAATTGATACTACGATTTTGTCCTTTGTTCTCCCACAGTGGAATTGAGAGGCAAAACTAGGGAGAACATGCTATTGGAATGGTAAAATTGGGTAGAAGCAAGACTTATACTTTAAAAGGTAACTTCACCAGGAGCCAGAGATCCTAACTGCCTCTTAGCCCATCTGACTTTTCACAGTTCCACTGCTTAGGCTTATAAACCTTCCTTAGATAATTCACTTAAATAGATCTGATCTTTAGCTGATCACTTAAACTTTTTATTGCACCTTCACTGAGAAGTGGGAGTTGAGATGCACTAGGGCATTACTACCAAATCTCTGTTAGCTCTCTAGTCACACACAAAATGATAAAATTATGTAATACTTGTGAAGTAAATATAGCAAAATGTTAGTCTTAAATCTGCTTGGCACTAGTCCTTTAAGAACTTAGTCTGGATTACATTATGTTAAAAGCCATAGAATCATCTCATCTCATCTCTCCTACCCATACTGTCAAGTCATCTGCAGGGTGAACCTGTACGTGTTGTTGAATTTCACTTATTATTCTTTGAAAGTGTAAAGATATGCATCAAAATATTTTCTGAAATCAACAAATTTCTAGTGTGCAAAGCATTGAATATATCAGAGGAGCTGATGTGGTAAGTTGGTTTAATTCCTCCATTTGCAATGCCAGCATCCCATATGGGCTTCTGTTTGTGTCCTGGCTGCTCTACTTCCAATCCAACTTTGGCTGTAATGATACATTTTAAATAAATAAAAATGAATCTTAGAGAATAAAGTATACCATGAAGAAATACAAATATATTAAATCTATATATGGTTGGTTAACTCTTCCTATACAGTTCTATATTATTTCAAATATTCTAAAATGAAAAATGTGAAGAAAATTGACACATGGTATCTGGTATGAAAGTATGTGGAAACAAGTTGGCCATCTTTTAAATTTATGACATAAGAAAAATATAAAAGTAACATCTGCTTCAAGCATGTGGCTTCAAGGCACAGTTGATACCTGCTTTCGCAGCAGCATCACTGCCTCGAAGCCCTAAGTGGCAATGATGTAGCCCAGGTGCAGCTGCCCTGTTGCTCCAGAGGCAGAGTACCTAGCCAGGTACGTGTGAGCCCGATGTTTGGGTCCCTCTCAGAAACGTGAAATACTCTCCAGGATTGCCAGACAGGGGTGGTTTTTAAAAAAGAAAGTGTATGTGAGGCAAACATGAGCAGAGAAAATACTAGTGGAATTTAAATGATAATGGTTAATACTAGTAATTATTGTGGCACCTGTCACTGACATTCTGAATTAATTTTAAGTGGCATCTGTCACATTCTGAATTAATTGTCACCGGAAATGAAAAGGAACCTGTTTGATTCATAGTATGCTACTCCAAGGAAGATGAAATGATGCATTTTTTTTGTTTTTATTTTTATTTTTATTTATTTATTTATTTTTATTGTTATTAACATTGTATTATGTGATACAGTTCTATAGGCACTGGGGATTCCCCCCACCCCTCCCATACCCCTCCCCCCTTAGTGGATTCCTCCACCTTGCTGCATAACCACAGTTCAAGTTCAGTTGAGATTCCTTCATTGCAAGCATATACCTAGCATAAAGTCCAGCGTCTTATTGTCCAGATAAGTTCAGTGGCCTCTTGGGGAGACCTTCTCTGGTCTGAAGGTAGAGCTAACAGAGTAAAGTTCCGGTCAGTTAAAAGCCCCAACAAAACCTCAGTATCAATATACAACATTATGGAATTAATTGACATAGTATTGAGTAAACAATATGTTAAAAATAATGCAAGTTCCATTCTTCAAAACATCTGGGTTGAGACAGTATCAATGACAGGTTCAAAAAATAACAAACAACCAAACAAAAAATTACAGGTTAAATCAAGGCAAACATGTGGTATCTAATCTTTTGGGATTCGCTCATTTCCCTTAGCATTATAGTTTCCAGTTGTGCCCATTTAGCCACAAAGAACTGCATTTTGTTTTTTTTTTAATAGCTGAGTAGTATTCCATGGAGTAGATGAACCAAAGCTTTCTTATCCAATCTTCTGCTGATGGGCATTTCGGTTGCTTCCATGTTTTTGCAATTACTGATTGTGCTGCAATGAACATAGGGATGCATGTTGGTTTGTCGTGAAACAGGTGTTTTGGATATATTCCTAGGAGTGCTATTGCTGGGTCATATGGTATGCAGATTTTGAGTTGTTTGAGTGTTCTCCAGACTGATTTCCATAAAGGCTGTACCAATTTGCAGCTCCACCAGCAGTGGAGTAGGGTTCCCTTTTCCCCGCATCCTCGCCAGCAAGCGTCGTTGGTGTTCTTGTTTATGTGGGCCAATCTTACTGGTGTTAGGTGGTACCTCATCGATGTTTTAATTTGGATTTCCCTTATTGCCAGGGAACTGGAGTGAAATGGTAGTTAAAGATGTGTTTGAGGGCCCAGCGTGATAGCATAGTGGTTAAAGTCTTCACCTTGCACGCACCGGGATTT